ATAACTTCATATTCTTATTTCTCTTCTCTTTAAAGGGTTAAGCTTTAACCATTTCCTATACAAATTGTGTGTGTGTGTGTGTGTGTGTGTGTGTGTGTTAGACCAGTTTGTGTTTATGTAGCATGTTAGACCAGTTTAAGTGTTTATGTAGTATGTTAGACCAGTTTAAGTGTTTATGTAGTTAATAAAACCTTACTTGTATCACACTTGACGTGGTTCATTGTTTGCTCATAACTGGAGTCACTTAATCATGCAGATTTATGCTACAAGCTCTTTGTAGAATTGTACAGTAAGAAAGTTATTTCCCTTAACCAGGAAATGAACGTTCTTAGAATTGACAGACAGTTGACCCTGAGAGGTCAGCTAAATATTTACAGCGGATCTAAAATATTCATAATTAATTATAACTAGTTATGATTAATTATTCATATTTCCCATGAGCTGATTCGCTACAGTTGTTTCATTAATTTTTCTCTTTCTCCGCTCCATGTTTGCGGTCTTAAATTTGTCTTAAGGAACAAAAATTACAGAGCAAAATAAAAACAGATTGCCAGCAGTCCAGATTAGTGTACATTCATAGGTCGGAGTATCTATATTTACCCCAGAGCCAACACAGCACCTGAAAACACACTGCACTAGTGGGCAGAGAGGCCTATCCAACCTTCAAGCTTTATGTAAAAGGATTTGGCTCAAGATGTGCTAAGCCCTCAACAATTGTGGCAGTGGTAACTAAGGGGTGGCAGTCTATGGTGAGTCTGTTTTCTTATCTGTTAAATCCTACGTAACATGATTTACATGGTTTAGGTATCGGAATGATAACCTCATGAAGAAAAAAAAGTCTAAATTGAGTTTTTTTTCTCCACTGTTGAGCAAATGTTCTGTTGCTGATCTGCTGCACATTTCTAAGGGACCTGTTTCTTTGAACTTTATGAATTCCAACGTTTTTGTATCAAAATAAAATCTTTAGAGACCCTATATTTAAAGGAACAGTTCACCCAAAAATTAAAATACATTTTTTATTCAGCCTCATATCATGACTTTCTTCTGCTGGACACAAAAGTAGATATTTTGGAGAACGTATCCAAACAACACTGAACCCCACTGACCTTTGTTGTGTGAATGAAAATAAGAGAGAAATGGATACGATGGATGTTAGAAAGCAAGTCATACAGGTTTAGAACAGCGTGGGGGTGAGTAAATGACAGAATTTTTTTTTTGGGTGAACTGGCCCTTGAAGGTCGATTTATATATTCTTTCTTGTTTCAGTCATATGAAAATATTAAAATGACAGGCCAGAATATGGACGTATGTGAGTTTTAAACCACTTACGGTCTAGTAAACTCATTATGGGAGTACTTTCTTTGTGTTCTTGTTGCAGTGTGGGAATGAAGTGCGTGTTGTATCTCAACCAGCCCCTAAAACATTAGACATGAGTGTACGTGGTGATACCTATTAGGTTCATTGGCCGTGCTATTTTTATATTGGGAATGGAGAGAGAGAGATAGAGAGCGAGAGAGAGGTGGGGGTGGACTGGTCTCCACTCCTCCTAAGAGCATTACGAGTGCATTTGTTTGTGACCTTAGCAGAGTGTGCTGTCACTGTCATATGGCAAGCAAAGGCAGCCTCAACTGGTTTAGAGCAGAGACGGTTATTCTGGATCACAACTGTTCACCCTCCACTGTTCCCAGCAGAGCCCTAGGCTTAATCCTGAGCGGAACGCAGCCTTTCACAGAGGTAAAGGGGGGGACAACTCTCACGAGTCATGGGGGAGATCAGACACAGTCGTTCCGCATTATTTTCTCACGCGTATTATTGGGGAAACGGTGTGTAACTGAGGTTTCTTTGCATTTTGCTTCTTTCTCTCCTTTTTTGTTGAACTAAGTGGTGTGATACTTTGTTTTTGATGTGTCTACTGCATGAAGTTTAGGTGAATTTTCTGTCTTGTTAAATGTTATGATTAAGTGTCTCATTGTTTGCGAAGTTGGCACAGATGAACTCTGCTTTCTCCGCTGTCAAAATATCTGCTGTTAATAGTCTGCAATTCTGAGTTTGTGTTCCATGTGTTGTTTTTAAAGAGAGATTTCACCCAAAAATGAAAATGATCATTTACTCACCCTTATGTAGTTCCAAACATGTGTGTGTTTATTTCTTCTGTGGAACACAAAATATTATGTTAGACAACAGACATCATTTTTAATATTTAATAGTGAATGGTGACTGGGACTAGCTAATATCTTTTATATCTTTATAGGTCATAAGTGATGATTTTATTTTGGGGTGAACTAGGCTATGCCTTTAATTAGAACACGAATGAGTTTGTTTCATATTCTGCTTCTATTGTGTTGTCTGATGTATCGAGGATCATCATAATTAGTGATTGAAGAACATATTTGTTGTTTTAACTAATTTGTCCATTTTAATGCTAAATTTATTTTAATTGAATTCAAGTTTCTCTTTTGTATTATTCACCTTTTTCTAAATAGATGTAATGTTTTTACATTTTCTTAAACTTTTCTTAAAAGATGACATAATCAGCTACTTCTGCTTGTATGGCTTTGTCTGATGTCTTGAATATCATCATTTGTGATTTAGTAACTATTTTTTTGTTATTTTAACCTATAAAATAGTCAATTTTGTCCATTAAAAATCCAAAATCCTTTGTCTATAGACATGATGTTTATGCATTTTCTTTGAAACTTCTCTTAGAAGGTTCTGAAGAACTTTAAGAGGAATAATATATTATATTATATATATTGAATATTTATAGATTGGTATGTGATTGTCTAAAATTGTCATTTTTCTTTGTCTTGTTTTCTTAACAGCTTTCTTCTCCAGCTTCTTGTTTGTTAATGGAGTTCCGGCAGGGCAGCGGTGATTACTGCCACGCCCAACATCGCAACGCTTGATCACGGGTGGATATGCCCGAAATCTGCCACTGAATGTTCGGAGAAATGCCTTCTCTGCTTTTCTCTTGCTGGTCTTTCTGACTGACCACTTTGCTGTGCGCCAAATGGGTTAATTGGCATCGTGGCACCTGGCATTTAGCTACCGGACACTGTTCCACCCATCTAGCTGCCCGGCAGAGTATCCCTATCAAGAGGAAGAGGCAGATTTGTTGGAAGAGGAAGACTTTGTGGCCTCTATTTACCAAGAAAGGCAGCTTTCAATTTTATGTACTGATTAGAAGTGATTTATCACAGAGGATCTTGCAAATCCCTGACACCTTCACTGTGATAGTGCATCTGCTGTAGAACTGCTCTAGGTCAGAGTAGTGCCATACTGTGAGTGGAGCTGTGTGGATCCTGGCCTGGATTGGGTGCTCTTTTCTTCTGTAGAGTGGAGGGACACCAGCATGGCCAGGATGAACCGTCCGGCTCCTGTCGAGGTCTGCTACAAAAACATGCGCTTCCTTATAACGCACAACCCAACCAATGCATCACTAAGCAGCTTCATTGAGGTGAGAGACCATTCGGACATGTGCAACACAGAACATTTTAAAACATGAAAGATGACATGCAGCTCTAAAAAGTCTGTAACTACTCTTATGTGACACATAATGCCACACATAAATGGACCACAACCAAGAGCAAATTCAAAAGGTTTGTTCAAAATCCTAAGTGTACTCTGTTTTGTCCCTCAAAACTTGTGCAATCTTGTTTCCTCAGGATCTGAAGAAGTATGGGGCAACAACAGTGGTGCGTGTGTGTGAAATTACCTACGATAAGACACCGCTGGAAAAGGATGGGATTACTGTTATGGTGAGATATATTTCTTTACAGATGACACTTATTGTCAACATGACAAAGTATTTTTTATTTGTAAAGTTTTTTTTTTTTTGTTTTGTTTTTTTTTAAATCTCCTTCTATGCAGTCCTTTCATTTTTTTAGTTTGAAAATACAGACAAGGGGTTTGAGTAATGTATTATTTTTTTTATTCAAACATTTGTTATTGGTACTTTAATACTAGGTCTACTGATAAATCAGAATCAGAATGAGCTTTATTGCCAGGTATGTTTACACATTCCCACTTCAGGTCCTGAGAGATTCTGGCGCCCAGGAACCTGAATGACTCCACTGCAGTCACAGTGCTGTCCATGATGGTGAGTGGGGGGAGTGCAGAGGGGTTTCTCCTGAAGTCCATGATCATCTCCACAGTTTTGAGCGTGTTGAGCTCCAAGTTCTTGAGACTGCACC